GCCACATTCAATGTGGTAAGTGTGGTGTAGGACCCTTAGGGAATGTCAGAGCCGACATGTTTGACCAACACCCTTTCTAAAATAACACAAACAGGGTTGAAAATACTCATGTAAGCACGCCAGACCAGCAGGGGTGACAGTAGTGTGATCAGCCCGTCACATGAACCACCTCAGAATAAGATTGTGCACATGCTGAAGAAATTACACCCTCTGCCTTTATTCAGCAAAATGTGAGCACATCTTTGAATGCACACATCATCTATTCTTATACACCTTTCTTATACACATTCTTATACATCTATTCTTATGAGTAATTGTCCTTAATTATGGTCTGAATTAGAGATAAATATGACATAACAGGATAAAATGGCAAATGTCTACTTGTCTCATGTCTACATCAAGCACAGCACCTACAGATAAATATGTCTGCCTTTAATTAACTCACCTTAAAATAACTCACTGAAACCAGTTTATTTTGCTTGAGGGAGCAAAAAAAAAAAAATCCTTTTCCTCATCTCTGATTTTTAGAAGTGACGGTAAGAAAAAGACCTGAGGTCAATGAAGTTTAAGTTTCTGTTTAAAGTAGGTTAGAAGGTGTAAAAAAAAAAAAAAATCTGAGATAAATCTATAAATAAGGATTCACCTGCATTTAGGTCCACGAACAGGCAAGAAATACAAACATTACTCAAACTGAGGCTGACGATACAGTAAAATTAATTAGGCTGAGATAAATAAGATAATTATGGTTAAAAAGAAGAATAAAAAAAGAGTAAGATAGTTTATGTGAAGATAAGATCTTTAACATTAAAAAGGTAAAAGATAACAAAATAATTAAAGATAAAATAATTTAGGTTGAAGTGGATAAAATTAATTGAAATTTAACATGAGACAAAATAAGAGGATAAATTTAGATAAAACAAGATAAATTGAGATCAGATGATATAAGATTAGAAAAGTCATGATAAAGTTAAGGTAAGATAAAATGAGATTTAATGTGATATATATGCTATAAGATAAAATAAGATAAAAAATAAGACAAAGTAGGATTAGATAAGATAACTTATCAAAATATAAAAGGAGTTAAGCTAAAATAATATTTAAAAAGTTAATTTAAGATCAGTAAATTATTGGAGAATTACTTCAAAAAATAATTTTAACAAATGCACAATAATATCGTTTGGATGTTTGGTTTGGTTGGTTACTGCAAAGACAAACAGCACTAGGTTGGTCAAATATTGACAGCTTCAATATAATCATACAGATAATAGGTCCCCTGCAGCTTTGCTCTCAGTTCAGTGACTTTTGAATGACCACAAGAAAGTGTTTTTATGCAATGACGGTTGAAGCCATGAGACAGAATTTGTCTGTCTAAAATGGTGAGAGGGCAAGTCAGGGAATCTGCAGGATTTTGAATGTTAGAGTCATATCATCAAACTGAGCAGCTCAGATGCTGAAAACTGAGGAGAGGGTCCACTCCTTTAGTCCATATACCTTGCGAATAAAATAATAAGAAGCTCAGAGCGAGGACATATAAAATGTAAGTTACTCCTTTTGAATTTTTGTTTTTCTGCTACTTGAACAGATTATTAATTGTCACATTCTAAAAGGTAGAAAAATAACACAGCACTGATGATGAGGACACAGGTGAGGGAGGGTGACAGGGCGGGATGGGGTAGTATTTGGCAATGGCGAGGTCATGGCAGGCTGCAGAACAGTGAGGAAGAGGGGGCACAGGGGCAAATAGGAAGCGGAGGAGGAGCGACGGGGGTGACAGTTGAGGGGGATTTGCGCGGGGTGTGATGGGGAAGGGGGGGTGCAGCTTGGAGGCTGGTGTGTGGCGGGGGTGAGGGTTGGAGGGTGAGGGGGTGGGGGGGATTTGGAGGGGGGGTATCAGTGGGGAATGGTGTCAGCTGCAGAGGCAGCAGGGAAAGCCGACATCTTAATAAAACAGCCTCGGGCTAAATCCCATTAAAGGCCTCAGAGCCTGTTACCACTGCTGGCCAGGTAGCGCACACACACGTAACACACATACACACACATCATATATTTGTGCCTGCACACACACACACACACACATACACATGCACAGAGGAATATATTATATATGGATCCATGTGTCCGTCTCTCTGTCTGCTCCTGTCTGTCCATGTGTGGGGGTCTCTCTTTCTTTCTTTCTTTCTTTGTGTTGTGTTTTTTTTTTTTTTTTTGTGCGGTTTCACATCTGACCATCGCACAATTATACCCTCCACATCACACAAACCACCATACACACCTTCCCCTCTCACATTAATGTGGTGGAGGGTGCAATGATTAATTTACAATTCACAATTTCCAGTCGAAAGCTTTAAATTCAGGCGTCAATCTGCCTCCGCCTTTACATGTTAAGAGGAAATGTCCAGAAGTCGGAGAGCTTGTGCTGTCCTTGAACTCACCACCAGAACCAACAGTGCTATTGTTGCTGCATGGAAAGTTTTCAGGCCTTATCACTGTAACAGACACTATGAAGAGGGGCTGCATTCATAATAATCCAATGTATACAAGTGGATTGAGTCCCCCTGAAATCTTGATGGTATTTTCAGTTCTGGTTTCCAGTTTCTTTTGAAAATTTGAGTCCTACTTCAGAGTCTATGAAAGTGTCAATAATGTCACTGGATTTTCCATCCTCTGTAGCAAATACAAGAATATTAGATCAGTTCTAGGCTCCTCTTTGGGTAAAATAGATCTGCAGGCCTTCTCCCCATTGCTAAAATGCATATTGTAGCTGTCGTGCTGAAACTTCATACTTCCACACTTCTTCACTGAATTTTCTAATATTAAAGGTCATGTGGGTAACTTTTGGTTTGTGCCAGTTTAACACCCCTTATGGACAAACAGTCTTGGTTATCTTGTCTTTAACATACCTCAGTAGTGTCAAAATGTTGCTGACATGGTCAAAAGTCCTTTTTGTGACTTTTGAATGCGAAAAATGTAAAAACTTTTTTCAAGACACAAGGTTTCCAGCTGACAATGACCATATCAGATCTACAGTACATATATGTATATACTGTAAAATATGGCACTGAAGTCGCAGCCTGATTTTGTAGGTCCTCCAGAATTAAAAAGGGTTTTAATTGTCCCCCTGTGTGACCATTTCTATTACATTAAAGTTCACAAATGTTCAGTTTTCATGCAAATGTGAAGTTTGTAGAAGGCGCCTACTGTATGCTTGTGCCACTCACCTTTGCTGGTAACTTGTTGCCTTAAACTGCAGTGTCTTTTGAATCAAACTAGCATAAGTTAAAGCACCTATGAAGAATTAATGTCCATTTTAGCACGAAGTGATCCCATAATCTCTTTGCTTATCTTACTCTGTACAGGTGAAAGTATTTTCTGTTACAAATCATTTCCATATACTCCACTTTAGCAATCATATGCATCACACACTGTGAATTATTGTGCTGTTAAAGGACTGTCAATAAACTGTCCAGACAACTTCCCTCCTTACAACTGTTTAAATCATGAAATATCACATTACAGAAGTTTTTTAATCTCATTGCTGATGGTTTCATTTGCTTTTTGTATACATTAAGAGGCACCTCTGTTAATTTTAGTCTTTTTTAGAGCTAGCTAAAACTTCCTTAAACTGGAGCTTTAAATTACTTAACGATACACCAATTTCTTTAAATGCATGAGCTTACAAGCCTGTGCTCCACCTAAATGCTAGGTTTGGTGCATAGTTACATATTTGGGGAAGTGCATGCCCAACTACGTGGAAAAGTTCTGTCTTTATCTTTGTGGTCAATTTTACTTTTCGAGGTCATTTAAGAACAGCAGCGCTGATTTCCTAACCATCGAAAAACTTATTACTAGTGCTTAAAGAAGCGCTGTATCTGTCATACATACAAACCTTTCACTACCTTGCACTCTAACACATTATGGTGCATTTATTTCAACGCATGTGCTGCTTGAAAACAGAAGATTTGTAGTTGCATGTGTTGCCTTTAATTTGGAGCTCTGGCAGAAGCAGATATGTGACCAGCTTGTTAGTCCACCTCTATCCACTGTAGATCATTTTAACAGGTTCAGTTGGTCCTTTAATGGGGCTGCAGCAGCAATCTGTCCTGTCAGACTGTCCCCGAACATCCCACAGTTCACTCATTATAGACTGGAGAGGAAGGACTCAGATATATGAGGAGTGAGAGAGTATAGGGTGTCATATTATGCTGGACAATCTGGTCAAATCGGGATTAGAATTTGATGTGTTGCAGAAAGAAAATATTTTAGGCTTAAAATATGAAAGATGAGACAGATAAAAATGTTTACCCTCTTTAGATGGAAGTCCTTAATAAAGGTCACCCCTGGGGTCATGCGCTGTCGTTCCAGGCTGGGGCACCTCCACTCTGCTCCACAGCGCCCCTTGGTGGCTTGATTTAGACCTGCCTGCCTTAGTGGGGCAACTTGGAGCAACAAAACACCTTTGATGATTACTTTCTGCTTGCTTCCTTCAAACACTCTGGTTTTTAAAGAAAGTGTGATTCTTTTTTCTTTCATACTTCAAAATGGGAAAAAAATAATGTATAGTGATTATTTTTTCAGATTTATTCAGATCAAACTGCAGGCAGGAAATCCGATTGATTCAAAGCAGGCAGATATCTTGTAATATGTGCATGCTGTGAGAGTTTGATTTGCTCAAGTGCTTGCAAAGCTGAGGTTTAGAGCCCACTAAGAGGTCACAAAATAGCAAACTAAAGGACTTCATGATGGCTCACAGAAGGAGACAGAAAAAAAAACATACTTTTCCAGCTAACATTTGTTATTCTTGTCAGACTTCCTGCAAATCTTTGTTTTCTCTCTTGTGAAATTCAGCAAGTTTCAACCGCTGAGAGCTTTTTTTTTTTTTGTAACTTTAAATATATAAAAAGGAAGAAGCCACTTAGGATGAAATGCTCACGCCTCGCAGACATGTTTAACATGTGACAAACGGTCACTTTAAAACTCTTACAACATGAAAAGGCTGGGAATCACAGCCGTGCTCCACGCAGCGGCACAGTTTCTTCAGCTGTACTACTGGGTACAGCGCGGAGATGGGAAGTCACAGTTTTTGAAAGCGAGAACAAAAACAGCAGAGAAATGTTCAGCAGCTCTGGAGGAGATTTGTCAACGATGGCAATCCCTCCCAGGAGCTCCACACACGCCTGCATGATGAACACAATCTAAACTGTCCTCTGAGTTTTTATTCACACACTCACACACACACTCTGACTCTGACTCTGGGCTGGGATCCAAGCACACTGGCCCAAATGAAACACACACACACACACCCTCACAAAGTGTGAGTATGGAGGGGGGGATCAATATGAAAGAGGGATCTATATGTCCCAAAGTTGAAGTTCAGCCTGTGTCTGACAGAACACACAAGTTCCTGTTGTAGTAAACTATTGTTTTGACAGGATGTCACTTCAGTTCTGCCGAGTGTGTGTGAGAGCGCCGAGTGCCGCGCGCCTCCTCTTTATCTCAGGCCTAAGGCTACTGTCACTGAGCCGGGGGGAGAGTGGGAGACCGAGGCAGACAGAGAGAGAGAGAGAGAGAGAGAGAGAGAGAGAGAGAGAGAGAGAGAGAGAGAGAGAGAGAGAGAGAGAGAGAGAGAGAGGGAAACAGGGAGGAAAAAGGGAGAGATAATTCACTTGTCAGCTGCCTGATGAAATGCCATTTTAACTGAAGCTGCTAATAGGAGCATTACGGGGGTTCAACAAGCTGCAGACAAGTTGCTGATAGGGAAGTCTGCCTCTGTGTGTGTTGGTGTGCGTGTTGGTGTGTGTGTGATGCCAATACCTGCACCTTTTCCCCCTGCTTTATACAAAATCTCTTGCTGCCAACATCTCAACTCTCTGGGTCAATGTAGATTTTTGTTTAGCACATCCACCCCGACACCAAACCTGCTCCAGCCGTCACACAGAGGAGACTCCTTCCTCCAGTGCAGGTTTACCTGTCAGTGCTCCTGGGGACTTAAAGAAAATGTTGATCCTAAAAGGACTCAGCAAGCGGCATGATAACTGTGTTTTTGAGTTTTTTAAGGATATTAAAGCAAGTGACTATTTAAGATGACTTATTGAACTCTGATTAGCTTCAACTTTATCATCAATATATCAGTGTAATAAAGTCAGTATATATACACACAGGTAAAGAGCACAGAATGAATGATTGGGAAGCTGCAGTAAGAAGAAAGATTGAAGATATGAATATGTGTATTTAGGTATATATATTTAGGCAATAACATCGGGAGATAGTAGCGGATCAATGCAACCATTATATTTAATATTCATGAAAACAAACACTTCATATTAATTAATTAATATGAATCACTGCATTTAAGTCAGTTCATTTTAAACTAATAAATTATTTTAGGGAGAATTATTTGACACTTTTTCACCATCTCTGTAACCATGACTCACACTGTTGAATCTGTGAGACTTAAAGCAAACTGAAAAAAAAAAGATTAGATAAGAAAAGAACTAACTGCTTTACAGTTACTGTAAAAAAACACATAAAGTCATTTTTTAAATTTGGTTTGCAAAATATTACAAAATACCAAAATTTAACTAATGCATTTCTGAAGTTTCCAGTTAAAATATCATTACACTTTATATATAAGTCACACAGATTAAACAAATCCAAATATAAATCTAATTTTAAGACATTACCTGCCAAAAATAAAGACCTCTAAAGCTGTTATACTTCATTCATATAAACAACATTTTTTGAGATTTTCTGAAGCTTTTTGTCTGGATTGGAAAAGTTGATCTGAGATATTTCCTTTTTTATCGTCACCCTCTCACATTTTGATTTGTGTTGATCTGAAATTAAATCATTAAGTTTAATGTTGTTTTTGTTGTTATAGTTTTGTTGTTTTACTTTTGAATAAAAGTGGAGTCCCCCTTTTGAAAGAGCTTGTTGGGTTCTTGACCTCTCCCGACACGTCATCAACACTTTTTTTTTACTATGACATCTCTATGAGTGCAAAATTAACGCATAACAGATGAATACAGCATGTTTCATATACTTGCTGTCAGAAACTTTACCCAACTTAGTGATGATGTACAACTTCAAAAAGGTGTCATTTTAGTGTTAATCAGAAACTTCATGAAAAACTTTTGTTATTCAGATTTGTATCGTTTTACATGAAGTGTATTTTGTTGCATTTCATTCATGTAAATTAATTCAACCAGGAAAGATTTGCTGAGATCTTTTTTGTCTAAAGTGTCCTGGCTGAGACAGAGGGTTGACAAAGTCTCAGACAAACTCTTAACAGAGACATGTCAAGGATAAAGATGGAGGAAACTTTACCATCCACTTTTAGCAGGTTAAAGGCAGATATTTGTCTTGATGTGATATGATGAGAAAGTATCCACCACAAAACACAAAAGTTAATAAATTACAAACACAAGATAAAATATAATACAGAGACATATTTGAGACCAATCAACACACCCCAAAACATGACATATCCCTAACAAACACAATATGAACAGGAACCACATGCACGACTTGGATTCATAACAAGACATAAAATTCAAAGCGAAACCAGCAAGTTATTGTCCAAATGGACCACAGTCCTGAATCCATCAGGCAGAACATCTACAGTCAGACCTGCCTGCCTCTGAGACCTCTTCATGTAGTTAAAGGTTTTTTTTTTTTCCAAAGCAGAGCCAGAACCCGGTTTACTGCCAAGTAATTTTAACACGAATGAGAAATTTGTCTTGTTGGTGTTTTGGTGCAAAAATAATTAACACAGAAAAATATTAAAAATAAAATTAAAACACAATTTAACTGCAGTAAGACAGTCAAGGACCTTTAAATAGAACAGGATATAATAGAAACTGTAAAATCTCAGGCAGATCATAAACAAAATATAGTTTACACACCAGTTGAATTGCAGAGCTGTACATTTGTGCAGGAAGGTGCACTTAAGTCCAGTAGTGTCAGTCTAAAACGACAGTTTGCAATGCAACAGACATTTAGCGAAGGGAGCAGCAGACTCTGCAGCTTTTCTCCAGTTTACTTTGAAGAAATGAGCACAGGAAAAAGAGGGAAAAACTTCTACTTTTTCTGAATGATTATCTATAAATATAGACCATCGCTCTCTGTACAAACAGAGTTATAAATGAACATGTTAATTTGACAGTATACCTAACCTCAGGACAGTAATTCAGCTGTGAGCAGTCAGATATAAAGATTTAAATCAGAATCAGGAATATTTTGTTTACCACAGGGAGGAATTCAGTTTTACACAATAAGGATGTAAAAATGAACGAATGTTTTTTGAGTTATAAAATATTTTAAAAACTAAAAAGAAAAACAACTTTTATTTTCAAAATTAATTTTATTTTGAAAGGGATTATGCACAATATTTAATATAAATGTATATACATTGTATCAGTTTGTTTACAGCTTATCTATATATGCAGTCTCTTAGCTTACAAGTGCAGGGTGTTTGAGGAAAAGTAGAAACAAACTGTGCATACAGATAAATGTAGTGGACTTATTACACAGATAACAAAATGACTCAATGTCAGGAGGAGTTTTCAAATACCAATCAGAACTGGTGATTTCACACATTTCTAGCTTAACATAAAATTACAGTGATTGTTTAAAAAAATAAATAATGATAATAATTAGGAATAACAAGTGTTAGCATGAGTATAGTTGTGTTAGGTTTGTCTTTCATTTTTTCTTTCCTAATGAATTAAGTGTTATTTCAAATCGTACGTCAGCTCAAGTATCTGAAAATTTTTTTCTTTTATTACAAGCTTTTCCCAGTTTGAGTGGATTGGTTTCGAGTCATTTTGGACCAACACTCTTGAAAAATAATCATCATTTCCTTAAATTTGTACAATTTAAGTCAAACATGATTAAAGGTCTTGTGTTGATCACATAAAAATGGTCTTTCTTTCTGAATAAACCCTCATATTCTTAAGGCCTGTCATTCAAATCCAAACTCTTTACCTCATTAAAAACACATTAGTTTTAAATCCTTATCAAAGTCTGAGTCATCTGGACTAACACTGTGTTAAATCCATTGTATAAACTGAGTGTTGTGTGCTCTGACTCGGGACCAAACTCCGCTCTGATGGTGATTTGTGTGTTTTGGATCTTCGCCCTGAACGTTTTGATGCTGTGTTACATCCACACACATACAGAGCAGCTTATTCAGCACCCAGTTATACACTGTCCACGAGCATTATGTGTTTTCAAAGGGACGAACAACACACACACACACACACACATGGACACAACTACACACACTCTCACACATAGAGAGAAAGGGTTAAGAGAGCCCTGAGGCCAAGTGATTTACGCAAGAATGGGCTGAATAGTTACTGTCTCGTTCTGCATGTGTGTGTGTGTGTGTGTGTGTGTTGATATGTGTGTGGGCTCTCCAGTACTGTATTTAGATATAACACTCGGATACATAGCAGCAGTCCTGCTTTGTTGCTGTAGAGTTGAAGAGAGAGTTTGATGTTGTCTTTTCCTTTAGTAAATGAAAACGCACGCACGCACACACACACACACACACACACACACACACACACACACACACACACACACACACACACACACACACACACACACACACACATTAGAATACATTAATAGATAATCTAATTCACATTTGGTCCACACACTTAAAGCTTGGCTACATATTTGACTTTAAAACATTTTTACTTTTATTTTGAAACTATTATTTAATCAAATAATCATTTTTTCTTTAAATCAACCATTTCTTTTTACCAAATCCTTTTTAATGTTTCACTTCTTCCTTATATACTGTTTCTTTTTTCTTCTTTTTTTGCTTTTAAAGTGTGCGTTAAACCCCAAGAAGACAGTATACAAGGTTTCTGATACGTTTCCAGTATCACATTTATACTAATGGGCATTTCAGGCACAATAAAAAACTATAAAACACACATTTGGCATTAGATTTACTACTCTGTTTCTTTCATTTTGGCCTATTTCTGGCCTTATTAGCCCCTTTAATTCACACCCCCCCACATATATTCACTTCCTTTTTATTGTTAGGACTCAAAAACTACTTAAAAATATTAAACCTATATTTGCAGAGGTTTAATAACATTCTCTTTCTTTTCAACTGAGCCCTGAAAGACATTTATCCAATTTAAGCATCTAGATAAGACTCATCAGCAGACAGACAGTTTAGAAAACCCTCTCTGTGGTTTCAGCCTGTGAAGAGCCTGAATGCCATCTAGTGGCTGCAGCAGGAAGCTGATCTGCAGCTGCAGCGGCAGCAAGATCAGGGGTCACAGATGGAGCCACTTTAATGTCAACAGCGCCCCCTGCAGTCAAAGACTCATAGACAAGTTCAGGTTGGCAAGTGGTATTTTCAGTTTCGCTCGGACCTGAAAAGAAAAGTTGATTTTATGAGCATGAATGGTTAAGGTTTTTTTTAATGCATTTAGGTAAATAATGATTCATGTACTGTGCGAGAAGTTAAGCAAGAGCAGAAAAATCTGAAAACATCAACTCAGCCTTTTGAAATGTATTTTGTTCTCTTGAGGCCACGGCTTCATACCACTTATGTTTAACTGCAGTCTAACACACTTTTATGTCTCTAATTATATTACACTATAGGCTTCCAGCTGCACTTAACTTGACCCCTCTAAAACAGTATAGATGTCAGAAAACTTGAGCAGCATTTGAGTCAATATTTGCCATTTACAGTTGTACAGAGTAAATACATATACTGTATGTATGTTCAGCAAACAGCCAGTAGGAAACACAAGCAGGATAGAGGCCCTCAACCACTCAAACAACTTCCTCTGTTACAAATGTGATCAAAAACAAAAATAAACATGAACACAATGTGACAAACACAGAAATAAACTAAGAACTGGGCTGCAGGGAAATCCAGTTTTCAAATCAGTTATTTGTTGAATATCAGAAATTAAAGCTCCTATCAGGAGTTTTTAACGTGTACTTTAAGATTTTGGCTTTTAGCTCTGTTGTTAAAATAAATGCTGTGGTGCTTAGATGTGGTCTGAAACATGACACAAGAGGCGGCTTAACACCTACAACACTTAAACTCGGTGTCGACTGGCCTGCGGTTATTTGCGATCCCTTTGGGTAGAGAAATGTTTCCAGAAAGTTTGAATGATATGAATATGTAAAGTTATACCTCTAATACCATGAACAAGTTGAATGTTATACAAAAGTTTGAAGTTTCTAGGTTAAAAGGAGGGAATACTTAAGTAGGAAAAATAACAACAAATAAAAAAGAATAATTAGTACATTGAGAAATCTCTGATGTAGATGTCTGCGGTTATAATATCAAAAATCTTTATTTTAGTTTTTAGGAAGTGAATAGTCAGTGTAGTTGGTTATAAAAGACAAAATACATATATATATTTATTTACTGTTTCATGTATAGGTAGACAAACACTTTCAGGTTATTAGAGGTGACGATGGAGGGGGAACTGGACTCTCCTTTGGTCCTTATTTGCAGACATGTTGTAACATCACGAATAAACATAAAACATCCTTTTAAGTTTCTTGTTTAAATATTTGCTTGTTAGGCTGTTAACTTAAAGGTTAATGCATATAACCTATATTTTTTCCCTTACTCAACCAGAGAAACATATTGTTTGGCAGTTATTTTCCTACACATTTATTACAGTATTTACAGTAAATTATATATGTAATATCTCTACACTATTTCAACATTGATGATAATTATTACAGACATTGATTCGGTCTGATTCAGTGTCATGTTGCAGAGAGTAACTTCAGTCTATGCTTAAGTTTAATTAGCAGAAAGTCTGAGAATACAGGTCAGTGCAGTATTATATGAATGTGTAGTATCTCCCACCACATTCACAGAGTCTCGGAGTCCATCAACATTCAACACAGTGACGGGAATCAGGAACACTGGATCGACCTGCAGAGTGTCTGTGGAGGAGCAGGGACCATGGGGACTGAAATGACACTCATACACACACATTCACACACCTGAATGTGTGTGCGCACCTTATAAAATGGTTCGTGTGAATCTCTTAAGGTGTGCTTGTCTATCAGTGTGTGTGTATGTGTCTACCTGTGTGTAAGGAGCTGTGGATCTCCTAATTTAGCCTCTAGAGAGCTGAGACGTCGGGGTGTCAATCTCCCTGTGCCGCTTTTTTCCCCACTTAACTTTTTAACCGAGTTTCCTCCTCTTTGCAATCCTCTGTATTTATAGCTGCCAAGCCTGGAGCAGCCACATACACCCCTCTCTCTCTTTCTCTCTCTCTCTCTTTCTTTCTTTCTATCTGTGTGCGTGTGTGTGTGTCTGCGGTATTTACCAACATTAAACTCTTTGTGTCATGTGTGTGTTTATGTGTGTGTGTCAGCTGCACAGCTGTTGATATTGTGGGGTTAGGGGTTTGGTATTTCAGTCAATTTCCACAGAGACGGAAGATGAAGTGCAGAGCGAGGGAGACAGAGGAAGTGTGGAAATCGCTGGAGGAAAAAGAGGGAGCAGGAGGAAGAAAGAGAAGGAGGTGAAGGGGATGAGGAGGGGGAGGAGGTGGTGGAGGGTTTGAAGGGGGTATAGAAGGACGGATGGAGGGATGAGGCAGACTTCTGGCCGGGAGAAGCTGCTCTGAGACTAATTAAGGTGAGGGCAGTGGCAGAGACGAGGTAATGATGAAGAAAAGGATTTACTCCCTCCATCCCTCCATCTAAGAAACACACCAGCACCTCTCCACCCGTCACTCACACCCTCACCTCTCCCCCTTCAACCCCACCTCTCTCTTCCTCTCTCTTTCACCTGTCCATCTATCCTGTTGTCTTCCAGGACTAGACTGCCATTTCAATCAAGAGCACCATATTATTTTGCAAAAATAAGCACAGTTACTGAAATCTGAGCAGAATTTGGGGTGCAATTAATGAATAAAATGGCTTTGCATTGGACATTATGTTTGGATTGTTTTGCATTAATGATAAATTGGTGATCAACAGTGTGTTGGTTAACACTTTAGAGCCCAAATTTGACCCCAAGTGCACAAACACCTCTGCAGAATCAGGCAAGCAATTCAAGTGTATTCTGCATGTGCAAAATTAAAAAAGCCTTTAAAAAAATGTACATTTGCAGATAACTTTAATGACAAACAATCAAAAAGATGGCATGATTCAAAATCACTGCAAGACAAAGACAAAAAAAGAAGATGGAAAAAATTATCACTGCATGTTTAACAGTGGTCTACAGATATCAGTTTTTCAAAGGCTGATACTGATACTGATACTGAGGGAGCAGGTCGGCCAATGTATACGCTGATATCATGTTATTGTTGTTGTTTTTTATGTCATAACACTAACAAATGAGGAACAAACTTGCTGACCTCGGATGACTGTTTTATTACAAATGTAAACTGAAAAATACCTGGCTTAGTGAAATCTCGCCACGATCGTGATATTGGTCTATTTATAGACAAAACAAATTACATCAAAATGACTTTAATTGGCCTAATTAATCTGTCTACTTCTTATGTGTGCACCCACATCCCCAACACAAACCCATACCCACCTCAGCCTATCAGTGGCACATAAATGTGTTATCAGTGTAGATCCAAAAAAAAAAAGAAACAATTATCCATGATCGGCATACAGGAATGAGATGCTAACATGACTCTCAGGCTGGTCATACCTGAATCAGTGTAAAGTACAAAAAAAAAGAAAAGAAAAAGAGGGCTAGTTTTTAGAGTACTTGTCAGTTTATCCTTTGATTGTGTTTTTAATTTCCTCAAGTTTGAGGAAGCCCTCGTGAGACTGTGGGAGGATTAGGAGATTTACACTTTAAAAGTACAACTTCTGGTGGGTCGTTTTGAGAAAGTGATTCAGATTGCAGTTTGAATTCATCAGACAAACTTCCCAAATTTAAAGTGCATTTTCCTCCGAATAAATACATGATGAGTTCCCTGCTGGTGTACAGGTTAAATGTACACTGTGTGCTCTGAGGTGGTGATCAAAAAGAGTAAGGCCTAAAGAAAAAGATCCAAAAATTTCAAGGGTAGTTCAACCTTTGTGAGGAGGTTCTCTTTATCTTCTGCTCCATCTGTTTCCCCTTTAAAACACTCTGCAGTCACTCCACATCCTCCAAAAACCAACATTTGTGCTACAAACTTAAGTGAAGGCTGTGCAGCTGTGGAGCTCTGTGAAGGGTTCTTACTATCCAGACTGGTGTGGTTTTCTAAATGTGTAGAAAAAGGTGCCGTCTGTGTTTGACTGCACTGCTCATGTAATGATTCCTGTTGTTCTGTGTGTATCACCTTGGGCATTTCAGATGGTTTACCACACCTGCAATCACAGCCTGTCAGCCTGTATGTGTGCATGTCTGTGTACTGTGTGTGTTCATGTTTGTGGTTTCCA